ATTAAAAACATTAGAATACTTATTTATAACTTCTTTAGTATAATTATGTTGAATCAAGCTTATTCTTATAGGTAAATTTAAATCAATACAAGGTTCTAGCCCCATAGTTGTTTGTGTTTCTGAATTTGTATGAGTATGAGTATGGGAACGTATGGCAGGCCCCAGATATATTGTCATCCACTGATCTCCCGGGGTTATATTACCCCCTTTCCGTTCTCCTGCGTATCCCGCCAAATCACAGCATTACCTGTGTTTGTTGGATCCGAAGTTTTTACGCCGGCTGGTAGATCCACCCTAGGAGTTCGTGGATGACAGTGTCAAAGGTTAAGGCCGCTCCCGGGATTTTTGTCAGCCGGGTCGGGCCATACGTCCAGTTTAGGAAGGGTTTTTGGAGGACATTGAACTGACCCAAAACTAAGTACAATCCGGAATCCTCCTGAACCTAGGCCTTAGTAGTAGCCCCATTCAATTGGTATTCGTGAATGGGGGGTGGGTATGTTAGTTATTTGCTTACTCCTATCTTTGTTGGTTTACTTCCGGTTCGTCAGTTTCTGTGTCCGTCTCCGGGTCGGCATGTGCCCAGTATTTTAGTTGTGCCACCCTGACACGTTTGGTGATTGTTTTTCCTTCTAGGAGGACTCTCGACGATATCTTGTCAGTACGCCCCTGTTCGTGATGTATTTCGCTTAAGACATTAAATATGTCCGATGCTGCTATTATTGTTTCCAAACCCAGCCAGAAGCCGTTTTGTGCGTGGTCCTTTAGGCAGGACCGGATTAACAAATTTGCCGCCCATGGACCCAACGCCTCATTACCCCGAATAGCGAATGACTCAGCGAATAAGCTAGAGTCGCGCCCCACTCGCCTCGTGTACATCGACTGCCGCCCTTCTACGCAGTGACGCACTACGCAGAATAATGTGTAGTCTGATATAAAATTATCTAATGTATTAAAAACTTCTCTTCCAACTTTTTATAGTAGTGTATAAATCTGAGTGAAATCAAAAATTCTGCATAAAACGCTCTTGATTTTTTAGCAAAATTTTAACTGGCCTTCAAACTTTGCCGCCCCTAAAAATTTGCCGCCCTGAACCCGGGCCCATGTGGCCCATGCCTAAATCCGGCCCTGATATAAAATTATCTAATGTATTAAAAAACTTCTCTTCCAACTTTTTATAATTAGTGTATCTGAGTGAAAACAAATTCTGCATAAAACGCTCTTGATTTTTTAGCAAAATTTTAACTGGCCTTCAAAATTTGCCGCCCCTAAAAATTTGCCGCCCTGGGCCCGGGCCCATGTGGCCCATGCCCAAATCTGGCCCTGCCTTTAGGTACGCCTCTGTTTTACGTTCCCAGTCTTTAATGTGCGCGTAGCGGTGGGGTTGGTCAAGGGTCGCATCTTGTAAGTATGGGCTGTATGTCTCAATGTGTGTTCGTAAGTGGTTATTTAGTCTTTGTCTTAATGCGTATGTACTTGTTGACCCAGTCAGGCTATTATCTAGTTGATGAGCCAAGCTGGCCACTAGCAATTTCCGTCAGATGGAATTTTAATTATTCCCACCGAATGATCCATCGTGTTTACTATTTCCATGTTTGTTATGGTTTGTGTTTATTTATTATTTATGGTTTGGCGTTTATTTATGGTATTAGTCGAGTGTTTATTTGGGGGATGGAGAGCTAATGTCTTATCTGCCTTTTCTGTTTTGTTTATGTAATGATTGTGTGTTGTCTGTCTCAATAGGAATGTTTATTTTCTGGTGCCAGCTGAAATTTACTTTTCGGTATATATACGTTTTACTTTAGATTTTTTGGAATAAAATGGTTTTGTTAATAGGACATGCAGTTAGAAAAATTACTTAGCTTGTTTATTAGGCTATAATCCTGATGCTAGGTCTTTCACGGTCTGTCCGTTGTTTCTGGACCTCCCTGCAGGTTATTGACAGGCTTTGGTTGTGACTATCCCTGCTGACCAGTTGGGCCGGTTGGCCTTAATTACTTGTTCAGTTGCACTTTTTTACGGCTTTAACAGGGGATCTCCCGCTCTTTTCACACTTGTTGAACTTTTTTTTTTGCACTTATCACACTTTCCGCACTTGATTGTTTATTTATTTATTTATTTATTTATTTATTACCGATTACCGATATTTCCGAATACTTAGGTTCGTTTTTGGAACTTTATTGAATTGTTTGTGTTTCTGAATTTGTCACTATAAATTCTAGAACTGTATATTTATTATCGACTTCACATATTAAAGCAACTTTTCCTAATGCCTTTGTTTTAAAATTTACAAAAGATACTAATGTAATACTCGAGGACTTAATATTTATTGATTTATCATTTTTTTTAAATATTAACTAAATTCCTTGAAATAACATTAACTTCAGCACCCGTATCTAATTTGTAGTTAATTTCTAAAGCTCCCACTTTTATATTTTTAGTCCAAGTATTCATGCCACGAATTTATTCAGCTACTGTATTTATTGTATATAATTTACTTACAGAACTATTACTTTCTTTTATTTCTCTGATATCTCGGTTATTTTTTTTGGCAGCATACTTGGAAATGATTTCTGCCTTGGCATAAAAAACATAGCTTTCCAAAGGCAGGACAGCTTCTTCTCTCATGGATTTTGTTACAAAACTTGCATTTAAATCTGAAACCTTCTGATTGCTCCTTCTGTGTGGTTTTTGTCCATTGCTTTTGTACTGGTTCAATATTCTTACTTTTATCATGGAAAAATTCAAATTGTCTATCTCCAAGTTCGGCTGCTATACAAAATTGAATTACCTTATCTAAATTCATTTCAGATTCTCTTAAAAGTCGTTTTTATAAATTTTTGTTAAAAATTCCACACACGATCCTATCTTTAATCAGTCTATCTCTTAATGTTCCAAATTCGCATGTTTTTACTTTGTTTTGCAGTTCGTTCAAAAAAGATTCAAATGTTTGATCTTGTTTTTGAAAAACATGAAAGAAATTATAACTTTCAATTGTTAATTTTTTTTTAAGGAATGCAATATTCATCAAATTTAGTCAATACAGTCTTAAAACTATATTAACTTTCTTCATTGATAAATGTAAAATTGTCTAATATTTCTTAACCATCATTTCCAATTAAATTAATCAATATAGCAATTTTCCTTTTATCGCTAGCTTCTTCTAAATTTGCTGCACAAAGATACGTCATAAAATTTGTTTTCCACTTAATCCATTCCACTTTTGGATTTCCTATTATATTTATATTTTCAGGCTTATTAAAATCAGCTTTTATTATCTTTTTAACACCTGACACCATGTAATATTTTTATGATGATACAAAATATATATTTAGTTGAACTTTATTATGACAAATTTATTGACAAATTATTCTAACATTCATTTGTCTAACATAGGTAACAATAGTCAATAACAATAATAAAAGCAGCTATTATTTATCTTACATCATCAGGATCTTATAGATTACCATACGGTTAGTCCAAACAGCTTTTAAAGAATGATGTCCATAGCATTTTCTGGTATAACACCGGAAAAAGCATTTTTGTATATGGATGATTTAATAGTAATTGGTTGTTCAACAGCTCATCATTTGCAAAATCTGAAAAACGTATTTTAAATGTAGAAAATACAATCTCAAATTAAATCCCGAAAAATGCAGATTCTTTTAGAATGAGGTAACTTACCTAGGACACAGAATAACTAATTGTGGTATTTTGCCAGACGACTGGAAATACAACACGATTACAAATTATCCAACTCCCAACAATGCTGATGCAGTAAAAAGGTTTGTTGCCTTTTGCAATTATTATCGCAGATGTATTCCTAACTTTGCAGAATTATGTAAACCATTAAATAAACTAACAAGAAAAAATATTACATTTCACTGGTCCGAAGATTGCCAACAATCCTTAAAAAAACTTAAAAATGCTCTCATGGAACCTAAAATATTTCAGTACCCAGATTTCAAGAAACAATTTATCCTAACTATTGATGAAAGAAGCGTGTGGCGCTATACTCTCTCAGAATTTTAACGGTTAAGATTTACCAATAGCGTATGCATCATTACAAAGGGTGAAATAAATAAAGCTACCATTGAAAAGGAATTAGCAGCCATTCATTGGGCGATAAAACATTTCAGACCTTATCCCTACGGACAAACATTTTTAGTAAAATCTGACCACAAACCGTTGGCAGCTGTTACTAGACCGATGGCAGCTAAAAGAAATATAACAACATTACCGGAAGATGATAAACCTAATGAAGAAACCCCTAGAGTACACGAGTCTTTAGATAATTATGACATAATCAAATACCCAATTTAAAATTTGAAATTAAGCCGAAGTATATAAGAATACATTTGGAAACTAAAAATAAATTTAGCGCTTGTCGTGATTACTAATGATAATGTTTCTTTAGAAAAACTATTGTCTTAGCTAAAATCAATGGCTAGTAATCATAATTTCCTAAACTTAAAACTAGTCGCAACCGAGAGTCGGAAACGACCAGACTCATGTCTGGGTTCGGCAAATCCGGGGGACCAAAGGCCCCACGTACCATCCAAGGGGCCATGACTAGGACGACCAAGGCGTCCACTTATGTTAGCCCTCTGTCGCTTCGGCGGCAAGGCAACCTCCCAACCAACCAAAGGGAGGAAACAACAAATGCAAAAAAAGGAGGAGTGATACCTAAGGCATTGCCCGACAGCGGGTCCCAGTGTTACATTCCGGGACCCCGGCCTAACATGCACAAAGTGTGGCCTGGGCTTTTCCACGGCCGCCCTACTAAGGCGACATGTCTTGATGCGCAAGTGTGGCGAACGGAATAAGTGCCTGTATTGTGGGATGGTTCTTACCTCCTATAAAGGAGCGAGGGCGCACGAACGGAAGATACACCCGTTAGAGTACGCCTCGGCGTAGAATCCTTAAAGCCCATGTCGGATGCCGAGTCTCTTCAGATCCTCGCCGACATTAAGGCGTGAACTACCAAGCGTAGTTTTCTTAAGGATATGTCAGCGGCTACGGGTCTGACGGTAGACCAGGTGAATCATAAGAGGCGACGCCCTGACTACGTCAACAGCGCAGCGGCCGCCTCGAAGCAAAGTAACCTGCAAAGCCCGACGCTCTGTCTTCCCGGAGTGAGTCCCCCGACCGCTCAGTCAATTGCCCCTGCTGCTAATGAGACAACGCCGCTCGAACTCCCCTCCACCACGGAGGTCGGATCTTGCCGGAAGCGTCGTCGTATTGTGTCTCCAGCCGCTTCTACGAAGCGGCCATGCGCTCCACTAACAACGTAGCGCGCGGATTGCACCGATGCGACTGTATGCTCCACACTTGGTCATTGACTTTCGTCGAGATAACACGTGTTGAGGTTAGGTTTGCCCCGCGAGTTTGGTGTTTGTGCGCGAGTTAGCCCGAGAAGTATGCGCAAGTGCGTGAAAGGTGACGTTTTGAAAATCAAAAAAGGCAGGACCCCCACGAGGGCTCGAACCTGGGTCTCCAGATACGGAGACCAGAACCCGAACACTCGGGGCCACTGGTCGGCCGCTTAACGTTAAGTAAAACTTGTACTGTTGGTGAAATCGCGGAACTTTGCGTATTTTTTAAAAAATGGTGGAGTGCGGGATTGAACCGCGGACCATTGTGTTGGGAGCGCGTGTCAAAGTCAAAGTCAAAGAACATTTATTTACACATTAATATCACAGATTTAGTACAGAGTTTAAAATGACAAAAGTAGTGGTTTTAATACAGAGTTTCTACAAAAATAAATAATTAATTTTGCCACTTCTGTGTGGAACTGCATCCGGGGGCCATGACCTCACGAACTGCCGACGGTGTTTGTCGCCTTTTGCACTGCACCTTCATTTAATGTTTCTTCTGAGTTCGGCCGTTATTTTCACATAGTGATTAGAAGGGTCTGCTGTTATTGGGACCTGAGTCAATATTTAATATTGTTGTGGCTTTTTTGCCATTATCACAGACATATTTTGCTTTTTATTGCCCAGGAAAAGTAACAAAAAACCTGGTAGGAAATTTTTACATATTTTACGGTTTTTTGTGGATCACGCACTGAACTTTCACCACCGCTTGTTGTCACGAGTTCTCTTCTCCACCACACACACCTTTCATGGTAATGTAGCATGTGGTGTGTACCATGGTATCATGGCGAGTGGAAGTCCGGATCTCGCGGCAACAAGCAGTAGTTTCCGTCCCTACGCAATCCACAATCTCACCCAGTTTGCACTGGTGAATTATGGTGAAAGCGGAAAACTAAATACTCCCAACAATTTTCAATCCAATATTTCTTTAAATATATATTATCAAAATGTGCAAAGTTTAAGATCCAAGGCTGACGAATTTTATTCTGTTTGCTCAGTTTGTGATTATGACATTATTCTTCTAAGTGAAACATGGCTATCTCAAGATATATCAAGCTCGGAGTATTTTAATAACCAATATCGTGTTCTTAGAAAAGATAGGCAGTTCGATAAGGTAAATCTTACACGTGGAGGAGGTGTGTTATTTGCCTGCAAAGAATACATTAATGTAACCGAATTAGATCTAACCAATATAACAAATGAAATACCTATACTTGATATAATTGGTTGTAGAGTTAAAATCAATTCTGTAATAACTTATTTATTTATTGTATATATTGTACCTGATATGTCTGTTAATAGCTTTAAATTTTTTCTTGATGAACTTAGCAATCTATTGTCTAACCTTAATGAGGAAACTATTATTGTCGGTGATTTTAATGTAAATTCTAATTCAAAATTAAACTTATTTAATGACTTTATAAACTTTAATAATTATAAACAATTTAATGATATCATAAATAACTATAACAGAACTCTAGATCTAGTTTGTAGTAATGTAAATGAAATATGTGTTACTCATGATGTACCATTCGTTCCTGAAAATTTGCATCATCCAGCATTAAACATATCTATATCTCTTAAAGCCAGCACTGTTCATGAGTTTACTGTAAATATAAATCAAGCCAAGACTTACAATTATAAAAGGGCTAATTTTGTTCAATTGTATAACGATTTCTTACAGGCAGACTGGAATTTTTTAAATAACGAAACAGAAATTAATGCAGCATGTGATAAATTTTATTCAAAAATATATTCATTTCTTGATTAAAACGTCCCTACATATAAAACATCAAACAAAAAACACCCACATTGGTATACCATTGAAATAAAGGAAATTCTAAAACTTAAAAACTACTACCATAAGCGGTACAAAAAACAAAAATCTGCTATAAATTACCAAAACTTAAAAAATGCGCGTTCAATACTAAAATCAAAAATAAACCTAGCTTATAAGCAATATATCTTAAATGTTCAAAATTCTGTCATACTAGAGCCTGACAAGTTTTGGAACTACCTAAGAACTAAAAAAGGGATGACCCGTATTCCGGGTGTTATGTGCAATGGCGACGCACAATTTAATGTTCCTGAACAAATTGTCGAAGCATTTAAAACCTATTTTAGTAGTGTGTATACAGAGCCAACAAATGATTATATAGATTTAACTTTTAATGATAATGCTTCCCATTTAAATAAAATTATAATTAATGAAAATGACATATTGAAATCAATTAATAAATTAGCAAATAAAAAAACTTCAGGTCTAGATCAAATACCTAGTTACCTAGTAAAAGACTGTAAACACATATTTCTTAAACCACTACTAAAATTGTTTAACCTATCTTTGAATAGCTCAACTTTCCCAGACATTTGGAAAACTGCTAGGATATGTCCGGTTCTAAAAAATGGAGACCCAAGCCAAATTTGGAACTATAGGCCAATTGCAATTTTAAATAATTTTTCGAAGGTTTTTGAGATGTCAGTTTATATGCATGTCTACTCCCATGTATGCAATCTTATAACTCCGTATCAACATGGATTTGTAAGTTCGCGTTCTACAATTACAAATTTAACCTGTTTTTCACAATATATATGTAATATTCTTGACAATCAAGGGCAGGTTGATGTCGTGTATACTGATTTCGCGAAGGCTTTTGACAGAATTGACCATCGAGTTGTATTGAGTAAGCTAAGGACATTTGGACTTACTGAAAATTTAATATGTTTTTTTAAGTCATATTTAAAAGGTAGAGAACAATATGTTAGTTACAATGGATATTTGTCAACGAGGTTTTTTGCTACTTCCGGAGTTCCTCAGGGATCAAATTTGGGTCCATTACTTTTTCTCCTGTTTGTAAATGATATTGTGGACAACATTGATTGTGAAAAACTTATGTTTGCCGATGATCTCAAATTGTTTAGCTCTATAGCAACCCAGGAAGATTGTAACTTTATTCAGGAGCAATTGGTAAAATTGGATACCTGGTGTCAGCAGAATTTTTTGTATTTAAATGTTGACAAATGCCAGATTATAAGTTTTAGCCGAAAAAAGGAGATAATAGAGTTTGACTATACCCTTCGAAATTTGAACATTAAAAGAAAAATAGAGGTTAAGGACTTGGGTATCCATTTTGATCAAAAGTTCTTGTTTGATATTCATATTAAGAATATTTGTAGCTCTGCATATCGAATGTCAGGATTTATAATTCGCAACTGCAGTGGTTTTAGTAATTGTCTTGCACTTAAAACACTCTATAGGTCCTATGTTGTTTCAAAACTTGAATACGGCTCACTTGTTTGGTACCCTTTGTACAACACATACAAGATAAAAATTGAAAATGTCCAGCGAAAATTCTTAAAATTTATTTACTTTAAAACTCAAGGAATTTATCCTGAGAGGGGATTTAATAATGATGTTTTACTGGATATGTTTGGTTTTATCAGTCTGGAGAGTAGGAGGGTAATCTGCTCCATAAGGTTTGTGAGCATGCTGGTTCAGAATAGGATTGATTGCATGTGTCTTTTATCCATGTTAAACTTTTTAATTCCAAGACTGTCAGCAAGGATGCATAAAACATTTTATTTACCACCATGCAAAACAAACATTATGCTTAGATCCCCACTATATATTATTTGTGATAATTTTAATAAAGTGTCTGAAAAATGTGATATTAATTTTGACAGTATTAATTTTATTATTAACTGCGTCAAAGAACATTTAATTTAATAATTTAGTGAATAATTGTTTTTTTTTGTTGCTATTGGAGTTTATATTTTGTTAATAAGAACCTTTAGTAATTAAGTTTGGATTCCTAAATTTACATTAGAATATTTATATTACTATTATACTAATTTTTATTTGTAAATTTTCCTGTAATTGGATTGTTAATCTGTTGGGAAATAAAGATTATTATTATTATTATTATTATTATTATTATTATTACTCAACATACGGTATATATGTGGTTTAAGGTCTTAGGGGCCTACTGTTATGAGCGCGTGTGTTGGCCGGTGAGTCACCCAGCTTGCCTGCAGTAGTTATTTAAAACTTGCACTGTTAAAGGATTAATTGTAAGCAATTAAAAAAGTGAGTGCCGGACGTAAGGATCGAGCCGGGGACGCCTCGATTGCAGAATCAGAATCAGAATCAGAAATATTTATTTTAACATTAATATCACAGTTGGTTTACAAATTTCAGTTTTACATAGTAGTATTGATTTACAGAATGTTTTATACATATATATATATACATACATTTTCATATCTGCTGGCTTCCTTCCAGGCGTGACAACGTCCCGGATGGCTGACGATGGTAGTCACCTATGCTTGCTGATTTTTGTTTACAATTTACTAGTAGTTCAGCCATTCCATTCGCAAGCGATTCAGGGGCGTTGCTGAGTCCGTGACCTAGGTCGATAATTGATTTGGTGTTGTGTAATTTGTTGCTGTAAGTTTATATTTAAATCCACGGGAAAAATGAATAAAAAACCCGTTTTGAGAAATTCGCCACATTTTTTATATGTTTATCATATTTGAGTTATTTACTTGGTCGCCACACCTCTATATGTATAAAGGTGCACCGCCAAGAGAGATAAAGGTGTGGGGTCACACCTCGACCGGGCGGTCGCTACACCTTTAAGTTAGATTTTTGTGGCTGCCTTATGTAGCAGCCTTATATATTATTTATTTTGATGTTTATGCTGTTTGCTTATGTCGCTAAATGTATTAGTGCCTGAATAGTTTGGAGATTTTAAATTATTAAATCGGTCGCCACACCTTTATTTGGTTTATAAAGGTGTAGCGACTGTTTTAGTCGCTACACCTTTATTTGATAATTTTGTATATTACTTTGGTTTTTTATTGTTTTTTGTGTTTTTTATAATGATCCAACCAGTTAATGTATTTGGGTTAACTGTATTGTAATATATTTTTGAAAAATTTTGTTTGTGCAATTTTCTTGTGTGGAGCCGTCGGCTATGTCGGCAAAACTGGCGCTGGATACGCCAGGATTGCCACAAGTGCTCACGGGCTACCACGTTAGGACGCGGCAGCTGAAAATGTGCGCTTATATATATGGTCACTGGTTTTAAAGCCTATGACATATGTATTATTATTTAAAGTTGAAGACTGATTTTATTATAACTATTATATACAGGGGTGATGTTAAGCAACCCAAATTTGGTGTGACGACTAATTTTGTCTTGGCAGACGGAAAATTGGCAAAGTGCCGTAGATAAGACGATGTTTATACAACACTGCGTCCGCATGCCTCAATGTCGTGATTTCTCTTGTCAGGGGGTGTTTGTCAATTTTGTAAGTGTAAAAATCGTTAGCCAAGCGCTGAATATGGTCTTGCATATATTCGATACCAGTTATCTCGTGTAGGCTGTCAACGGTGGCGTAGCGTCCGCTATTTGTAACATAACGGAGCGCTTTGTTTTGTAAACGCTGTAATGTTGATATTTGTGTTTTCGAGGCTGAACACCAAACCGGACAGCCGTACGTGATAACTGGTCTTATACACGTTTTATACAAAATTATTTTATTTTGGAGCGACAGCGGGCTAGATCTGCTGATGAGTGGGTAGAGAGCTTTTATGGCAGTGTAAAACTTGCCCTTAATTGATTTTATATGCGGGCCGAAGGTTAGCCTGCTGTCGAAGGTGATGCCAAGGTACTTGGCAGTTGGCGCGGGTAGTATTGGTATGTTGTTAATCCTGATGGGAGTGAATATTTTATTATTGGTGAACTTGACAGTAAAGTTCACCAGTTCAGTTTTGCCGTGGTTTATGCCAATCTTCCACTTCGCAAAGTATTTTAATAGAGTGTTGAAATATATCATGATTTGATTGGCAGCTACTTGCGAGTGGAACGATTGGGCATAAACAGCGGTGTCATCGGCAAAAAGGCCTATGTTGACATGTTGAGACCGTGGGATGTCAGCCGTGTACATTGTATACAATCGCGGAGCAAGGACTGTGCCCTGTGGTACCCCAGCTCTAATGCCAAACACGGTAGATTTGGCTTGGCCGACATTAACCTGAAAGGTTCGATCGGTTAGGAAAGACGAGATAAATTTGTTAGTGCTGTTTGGGACACAAAAAGTGACTAGCTTGGCTGTTATACCATCCAGCCAAACCGTGTCGAAGGCCTTTTCTACGTCCAGCAGGGCCATAACAGTGTTTTTACCTCTGTTATAGGCCTGCTTGACATCGTGTGCTATACGCACAACTTGGTGGACGGTACTAAGTCCGCGCCGGAAGCCAAACTGTTGTGGTGGTGTTATCTGCCTTTCCCTGTCTACCGTGTTTACGATGTTAAGTATCGCCCGTTCAGCAACCTTTGAAAGGTTGCTTACTAGGGAGATAGGTCTATAGCTTATGGGTAGAGCGTGGTCCTTGCCGGGCTTTGGTATTTTGGGAAGTATGCCAACTTAATGATTGCGTTTACAATGTACATTAGGCTGACAATGGCCTTCTGCGGAAGGTTTTTGATAAGTATATTCTCAATACTATACTGGTGCGCTGACTGAGTGAGCCACCAAGCTTGCCGATAGTAAGAAGATTGAAACTTGTTATGTACACACTTAAAAAAATCGCGTTTGGTGGACCTAAAAATTTTGCGAAATATTTTTTTACTTAAAAAAATCGTGTTTGCAGGACTTGAAAATTTTTTCTAAGGCATTTGGGAATTTTTACGAAAATTTCAAAATTGAAATTGGGTAAAATGTCATATTTTAACGTAGTGGACCCTTTTAAAAGGGGTGCAGTGATGAGATCACCACAATCAGGGCAGAAAAGGAGCGACAGAGGAGAAGATAGCGAGAAGAAACAGGACCCAAAAAGGCACATGCACGAAATTGGAGGCAAACTGTTCGAAAGTTGCCAACAAATTATAGAGGCTGCATCGGTCTACGTAGACGGGAAACTACGCTTTAACAGGGCAGAAAGGGAGAAGACAATGAAGGCAGTAGGGGAAATTAGGAAAACCGCATACTGGGTGCAGGATGAGTATAGACGACTAAACAACACAATTGAGGAACTAAGGTTTAGGCTACACAGTAGTAACACTGAAGGGCAAAAAATAATAAAGGAGTGGAGAGAAAAGAACGACAAGAAAATGGAAGAAATGGAAGGAATGATAAGGGGGCTAGTGGAAAAGAACGACAAAAGATTGGGAAAAATGGAAGAAATGCTAAGCCGGGTGATTGAAAATCAAGTACCGATTGGAAAGCAAGCACCGGGGAATAATGACGAGAACACAGTCACAGGAAGTACAGCTGGAAAGCTAGAGGAAATGGAAAAAATGTTAAAAACACTGATAGAAAAACCAAACAAAGAGATAATGACCCGAGAGGTAATGGAGATTGAAGGGAACCCACCGACACCCACATATGCCAGCACAACTAAGGGAGGTCGCAAGGAGGGCTGGAGGACACCCGAAAGAAACTTTGAATGAAAATGTGAAAGACATTATGGAAGTCCTAGGAGAAACAAACGCCGAAGAGAAATTCAAATCCGTAACAAGGCTAAAAAGCGGCACGGTAATTCTAAGAACAGAGGACAAAACACAAAACGATAGTCACGAAAATACTAGAGGATAGTGGACGATTCCAGAAAGTAGGTAGAGACAAGGGAAGGAAACCACAAGTAATGGTAAAGGGTGTAGAGAAAGGGTACACAAAAGAAAACTTTGTGGAGGAACTCTTCAAACAAAACAAAGGACTTTCCGAACGCATACCAGCGGAGAACAAAAGCGAAATCGAAGTAGCAAGCGTAAGACCAGCCAGGAACGAGTACAAAGAAAACTGGGTGCTGAGCCTGAATGGCAAGGCTTTTAGAGAATTGGTAAGGGCAAAAAGAGTAACAATGGACCTAGAGAGCGTACGCGTGGACATGTGGCCAAATACTGCAAGGAACTGTGTGAATTGCGAGAGGACGGGAATTACAGAAGAGGAAAGAAAACATATGGCATCGGAGATGAAATGTCCCTGTATGATTAAAAAGATGGGCATCGATAGACGCTACACGGACTACCAATGGACCTGCAAATTTTACAAATAAACGTGGAGAAAAGGAAGACTGGGGAGACAAAGATACGCAGATAACCCAGAACGAAAAAACCGAATGTTTGTGGGTCTACCCAAAAAAAGGGTCAGAGAACCAGTAATAAAGGCAAGGGGTAAGAAAATAAAGATCAGAGAAAAGATAAAATGTCTGGGCATCACACTGAACAGAAATCTCAACTATGCGGACCACATTAAAGCACTAAACAAAAAAATGCTAGGAGTAGTCAGCCGAATAAAGGGTATAGAGAGGAGAAAGGGAAATTTGAACAAAGAATGGATGATATGCGTCTACGAAAGAGTGGCCAAACCGGCACTGATGTACGGGGTGGAGATCTGGGGAGAAGGAGCAATGGACACAAGGGTGAAAAAAGGCCTAACGTCGATCCAAAGAGCCTCCCTACTAATGGTATGCAAGGCGTATAGGACTACATCGACAGCGGCTCTGCAGGTGCTTGCGGACCTCGCACCTTTACACGTGGAAGCTAAAGAGAGGTGGGAGGAGTGGAGAGTCCACGGGAAAGAAAAGAGATGAGCAAGGGTAGTGGAAATGGACAGGATGGAACCATGGGGTAGGGGAAGATGGAGGCCGGTGGAAGACGACGATGGGGAGGGACTAATGGTGTACACAGATGCAAGCAGGGATGAGGGGGAATGGGCTGGAATAGGGTGGGCATGGAAGTAGTGCTGGATTACCCACTAGGCCAACCTAGGCCATGGCCTAGGGCGCCGCGAAGCTAATAGGCGCCCAGGTAGAAGGTTCAATTTTTTTAAACTATGTTGAACATTAAAATTAATCAATTAAAATAAATAATTATAATTGGACGCCTTTCTGCAGAAAGGAACCAACCCACAAAACCAAAAAAATCGAGATATTTAGCCTATGAACTAATTAAGTGTGTATAATTTATCTGCAAAATAGGTCATAGCCAAAATGCAAGTGTAGTGAAATCTATTAATCATTGAACCAACCAATAGATCAATAATAGTGTGGATTACTAATCCAGAATTAGAATCTGTAGAATATCTGCAAGTGGGTTGGATCTTTTTTGTAAAAAAGCAGGCTGGTAGACCCACTACCAAAGTCTTTAAAGATTTCCTGCTTCTGCAAAATATAAAGTCTTAATGCATTTTTTTGGTAGCTTACAAGATGAGGTGGGGTTGGAAGATGATGTGGACGAATTTCAAATAGAATCAAAATTAATTCATATTACCATTATAATAGTAATATCAGTTGTATTTTGTTTGGAAATAAATAATTGTCGCTTTTCTTTAAATACATACATACATCAGATAGTAGTTTTCATAAATTGCAGAAAGGAACCAACCAACAAAAGCCCATTTTTTTAGTCACCCTTACACATAACATCACAAAATCCACCTGATGAAATTATTAAATTATATCCCTTAAACCTCCGTAAGTCCAAAATCGGCATAAAATTAACAGGTAATTTTAAAATTATTAAAATCTTTGATAGCTTTTTTCTCAGTTTCATCATGGTGTGGGTTGGTCCCATTCTGCAGAAAGCCGTCCAATTATCAAACGTTCTGTTTTTGGTATACTATAGTTATAGGTTATAACCTGCTATACAAAAAAAATTAATTTATTAATAAAAAAATTGTAGATACAAAGTAATAAAAATGAGCGATAAAAACAAAAAATTAAGTGGATGAGGCAGAAAAAAAGTTGAAAAAGAAAAACAGGAAAAAATGAACGAATTCCTGAAAAATGTTCCAAAATTAAATACATATTTTCAACCCATTAGTGATAGTTTACCCTCGCAGAAGTTTCAAGCTTCAACCAGTACGTGTACTAGAGATAAGATTGTTACAAATTTTAATTTTTACTGTGGTTTGTTATAAACAAATTGTTAATTCATTTTAAATTTAAGAAGCCGAAGATAACACTGACCATGACTGTGCAACTAAAAGCTCAACCAGTAAGTGTACTAGCGGTAAGATTATTACTAATTTTAATTTTCACTGTAGTTTTTTAATTTACATATTTTTAATTTAAGAAGCTGAAGATAACACTGACTTTGCTGAAAGCTGCACTAGTGAAGACTTTACTAAGTCAGCTATTATTAAGGAAATACCAGACCCCGCTAAATGGCTTGTCAATGAAAGCTTAATCGATCATTTAATAAAAAATCCGTTAATTCAAGACATTTCAAAAATGTACTTTGATAATTCAAAAAGAAATTACGGTGCACGAAGTCGTTATGCCTCAAAAAAAATATTTTTTAAAAAGCTACATAATGGAGAAGTTGCACGTAGACAATGGCTTTTATATTCAGAATCTAATGGCAACATATATTGCAAATTATTTAACCGTAACAGTAATTCTTCCTTTATAACAGGATTTAATGATTGGAAGAATTGTTTTAGAATCTCAGAGCATAAAAACTCAATTGAACACCACGAATACATGAAAGTTTACCTCAAACGGTCAAATATTTTAGGCAAAATAGATACCGAGACTCATAAACAATTTATCGTGGAAAAAAATTATTGAATAAATGTACTTAGGCGAGTTGTTTCTTTAATTGTTTTAACATCCTGTGGATTAGCTTTTAGAGGAACAACTGAAATATTTGGTGACATTAATAATGGTAATTATATGGGAGCATTAGAACTAATTGCAGAATTCGATCCTTTCCTTAAAAATCATATCGAAACGAAGGGAAATCAAGGGAGAGGAAAGGTGTCTTATCTATCATCGACTATTTGTGACGAATTTATCAAATTAATGGCAAACACATTAAGGAAAAAAATATCCTTAGAAGTACAAAAAGCTAAATACTTTTCAATTGTTGTGGATTCTACCCCTGATATTTCGCATACGGATCAGCTTTGCATTATTTTAAGATATGTTCTTGAGGATGGTTCCCCAATTGAGAGATTTGTAACATTCATAAGTAAAGTAGGACATAAGGCAGCTAATATGGAAACAGCTATTTTAAATGCTCTTGACAGCTTGGGTTTAAATATAGAAAACCTCAGAGGGCAGTCATATGATAATGCCAGTAATATGGCTGGACCTTATTCAGGTTTGCAAGCCAGAATAAAGGAAAGAAACAAACTAGCTAAATTTATACCTTGTGCAGCCCATTCGTTAAATTTAGTAGGTACTTGTTCTGCTGAATGTTGCTCCTTAGTATCAAATTTTTTCCGATTCATAGAAGAAATATACGTTTTTTTTCCGCATCCACTTATAGATGGGAAATCATGAAAAATAAATTAATCGAAAACAATACCATCAGTAATTTAAATCAACTTGTACCTAAAAGACTCTCAGCTACAAGATGGTCTGCTAGGGCTGATGCTTGCGAGGCACTTTATAATAGTTACGACGCATTTAAACAAGCATTGGAGCATATTGTGAAAGATGACACACAAACACCAAAAACCAAAGCTGAAGGAACAGGTATACTTAAAAAAATGTTCAACTTGGAAACTGGAATTATGTTGTCTTTTTGGAATGATTTACTAACTTATTTTCATAAAACCAGTAAATCTTTACAAAAAGAAAATATGGATATATTAACTGCTATTAATTTGTATGAATCTTTGATTAAATCTGTCACAAGTGTAACGTGCCAATTGGCCGTTACAATTATTAAAAGCAAATTAATGTTGTCTTCATAATTTTAATATAGGCAACTGGTGATATTTGGTGGTATGCAACGTTTTAATTAGTAGCGCATTTGGTTTGACCTTCACCCGCTCTACCCCGCTGGATGTTTGGAAAGTTGGTGACATATTCGCCACTATGAATGTATTTATAATTCCTTTATAATTGTTAATAATGAATATTGTTTGTTAAAATTGTATATTTTTTTAAAGTAATTTTTTTATCTATTCAAGAGTCCAATTCTTGTGTCAAAAATAATTCTAGTAGGGATTTTTATTTTGAGGGGTTTTATTTGAAAATAAACTTTTTACAAAGTATTTTACATCAAGGAGTCTTACAAGTAACGTCATTACTTTTAATTTTATTATTACATTTAATTAAATTTAGTATTATTTAATTTGAGATAGTTTTTTTGTTGATTGGTTGCTAAGGTAATTTTGTAGTGGTACATGTTCAATTACAGCGCGCATGATTAAGGCGACATGAAGCCACGCTGGCTTTCTTTTGGCTGCAAGACTTGATTGGCGTAGGTCAAGTCTGACCGTTAAAAATAAAATTTCTGTAATGATAATCAATCAATGTTTTAATTAAGTGATATTTTACCACTACGAGGACACACAACAACCAAGGTAACTGATTTTGTTATGTTTAATTATTTAAGCAAATTTTTAATTTAATTCGCGATTAAGACTCCATGTTGTAATTTTTTTTGTAGGCCTCGTTATATGAGAGCACGCTTTCAAGTGTTACCATGATTTAAATATTTTTAAATTTTATTGTAAATATGGAACTTTTTGTCACCCATCGTTGGATTTAAGTTAAATGGAATTTTTGTTACCCTTGAGTGGATTTTACTAAAGCACAGACTGGAGCAGAGCTCAGCTGGCATGCCTGTTTTTTTATGGTTTTTTTTGACACATGAATTGGATTTTTAAATATGGAACTTTTTGTCACCCATCGTTGGATTTAAGTTAAATGGAATTTTTGTTATCCTTAAGTGGATTTTACTAAAGCCCAGAGTGGAGCTTCATATGGTTTTGAAGAATTTTTAATTTAAGACATACAAATTGTAACAAGGTAAAACTGCAGTTTTATTTTCTTTTATTTGGTACCAAAGTATTAATTTTATTTATATTGATAAATTGTTTACTGTTACAGCCATGCACTTATGCATTTAAGTATGTCTAGGTATTTATAAAATTTAATTTAGTTTGTATGTAAGCTCCCTGGAAACTTCACCAAATATATGGGGTATAAAATATTATTTGATTTCTTTTATTTTCATCTCACTACAAATTTTCACGTTTGTTTGTTTTTATAAAATTAAATTTCTTTAAGATCAATATCACTGTTATTAGGATTTAATATTTTAACTAATAATAATATTCACACATTTTACAAAATATCTGGCGCCCATAATATATCATTTTTTTTTAAATTTTAGTACCAAGTTCCATATCCACGACTCTGCTCTCCTGAGTTAATACTGAGTACTAAGCCGGCGTGTACCAATTTTGAGAAAAATTGCGTCACACAAGTATGAGAGAAAAATTTAATAAATATGAAGAAAACGGAAAACGTATTACAAAATGTTTTGATTATATTATGGATACAAAAAGAAAGAGAAAAAGAAAGGCACTAATAGGGGAAAACCCTGGAGAAGACACCATTTTCGATGGTAAGAAAGATATGGAAGTGAATATGTACTACGTTGTTATAGATAATATTATAAACAAACTCAGGAAGCGAAAAAATGCATATAATGAAATAAATGATGCATTTGGTTTTATACTGGATCTACAAAACTTGGAGGATGAGTATATAAAACATAAATGCAAAAAACTTAAGGACATGTATAATAAAGACTTGGATGATAATTTTGAAAATGAATGTATTCAGTTTAAATATTTTATAAAAAACATTGTTTTAAATAGCATAGACTCCAAGTTAGTCATATGGTCAAAACAAATTAAGGAGAAAAACATTACATCAACATTTCCCAATATGGATATAGTTTTAAGGATTTTTTTATGCCTTCCTGCTACCAACTGTACAGGAGAAAGATCTTTTTCTTTCTTAAAAAGAATAAAAAATATTCAACGCAGTTGCCTAGTAGACGAAAAGACTGCGAATCTAGCTCTTCTATCTATAGAAGCAGAAGAAGTAAATAAAATAAATTTTGAAAATATTATTGAGTCCTTTTCAGATTTTAAATGCAGGAAAATAAAATTGTAAAACGTCGTTGATAATGCAAAAGGTCGTGTCACTTGGACGCCTTTCTGCAGAAGAGAAATAACCCACAAAAATAAAAAATTCGGGATATAAAGTTAATTATCTCGATTTTTTTATTTTTGTGGGTTGGTTCCCTTGTGCAGAAAGGCGTCAAAGTGACCTTTTGCAGTATCAACGACGAAATGTTATAGGTAAAATTCTGTTTTAGTTTATTAAAAAATTAGGTTAGTTGTTCATTGATTTGTTTTTCTATATAAAAATAAATTATTTTTTTATTTATTTTATTGTAATTTTTTTATAAAACCCTACTTGTCCCCCTATGTGCAGCCCTGTCGGCTAACATCTATTGTGTTATATTAATACCATAGGTACTAATATGGGCTGTAATTATAGGCGCCATTATTAATTGGCCTAGGGCGACAAATTGTCTTAATCCGGCACTGCATGGAAGGAAGAAAGGGAATAAAAGTAAAATGCGAACGAGTAGCAGACACGGCAAATATAACCTGGTTGGAACTCAGGGCAATAACAAGGACACTGAAAGAGGACATTAAACATCATAACCGACTCAATGACGGCAGTAGAACTACTGAAGAAGGGGAAAATAGAACAAAGAGTAATTTGGAAAACAAGAAAGAAGATAAGGGAACTCGAAAGTAGAGGCATGAAGGTAACCATAAGATGGTTAAAAGGACACGAAAGGGACGAGGGTGGAGACAGGGCGGACAAGGCGGAAAGAGAGGGTAGGAACAAGGAGGAAAACCAATACGATATAGAATACCCTTACGACAAAAGAAAGAAACGGCAAAGGATAAGAGAGAGGGTCAGGGTGAAATGGCAGGAGGAATGGAGGGAGGGAAAGGATGGAAGGGCGCTCTTCGAGTTCTGTGAATGGGTGGGGTTTGATAGGCTGGACCTAACTTTTAAAGGAACACAGCTGGTCACTGGGCATGGAGACATGGCAGGGTATCTGAAAAGGTTCGGCCTATCCGATTCGGACGCATGTGAGTGCGGAGGGGTAGAGACCAGAGACCATATATGGTACCAGTGTGAACTTAGGAAAGGGCCGAAGCAAGGGAAACGTTAAGGGACGAGGGAGGGGGATTAGTGATAAGCCTGAGGAACACAGACGGCGCGCAACAGAGGGACGCAGAAAGGGCTAATGCCTTCGCCAACTCAGCCAGGATAGAAAAGCCTCCTCGCCGGGTATAACAACCCATAGATAAATAAGAGACCATGGACAGACAACACGGTATAGGTGACTAGGCATAGGTGATAAGAGACTAGAGATTAGTTTTAGGCCATTAGCCATAAGGCAATAAGCAAGGAGTAAGCGGTGAAAGGACATCACACAACCAGTGTTAGAAATAGGGTAAAGAGAAGAGGTGGCTGAAAATTAACTAAAGATAGGGTAAATTTATGTAAAGTAAAGTTAAGTTTAAATAAAGGTAAACCCCGCTAATAGGAGAGTTGGAGTTAGGATGACGTTCTCGATGGTAGACGTTGCGCTAGAGAGTGGCAGCAGAACCTAATGCCGAAAGGTGGGAAGGTCCAGGTGGTATCAACGCCCCGAAGGAGCGATGAATGTATGCTCCACACGGCCTAAACCGAACGTATCTAGAAGGAAGAGGAGTGTCAAGGACACCAGTGACACCGACGACTCGGAGAATGACGTTCGCCCACCCAGGGTGTGGTCGTCTCCGATAGCCGGTCCCTCCTGGCAAGATTCCCAAGACACAGCTCCGATGCCTATTGAACTCGAGAGCCATTCGGACCTTTTCAACGGGTCTGCTTACGTGGGCCGTACAAGCCTGCGCACGGAAGAAGTCCTGGTGCTTCGCGAAGACCAACTCAACTCTGAGTTCGCGGAGTACCTGAGGGATATTCGATGTCGAATTGAGCAGCCCGAAGTCAAGAAGATCATTGACTTGGCCCTTCTCGGTGCTTACCAAGACCTCACACTCGCTATTAAGTGTTGGTTAAGCACCTTGAACTCCAAGAGAAGGGCGCCCAAGAGGCAAACGGGAAGTAATCCGAATGGCCTGCGCAACTATCAGCAGCGCAAAGGTGGCACGGGTCAGCGTGCTGCCGACTACAAAAAGGCACAGGAACTGTATCAGAAGGACAAGTCGACACTGGCGGATATCATTCTCGGTGGGAAGAGAATGTACGATCCGCCTGACCTCCCTTCACTTGAAGAAGTCGAAGCGTTATACGGAGGGATCCTAGAGTCACCCAGTCCGGCTGACAAGGAGCCCGTCCGCCCACATGAGCCGCTCTACACGTTCCGTATTATTACGGAACAGGACGTCAGGAATGCCATGAATAACTGGCAAACGTCGGCACCCGGCACTGACGGGATCACGGTTCCTGACGTCAAGCGCGTGCAGCCCATTATACTTAGCGTGATATTCACTATTCTCCTCGGGCGTAACGTCCACCCAACATCGTGGGCGTCGCTCCGTACCATCCTGGTACCGAAGGCAGGAGACAGGAAACAGGCTACGAACTGGAGGCCGATTCCGATCGGCTCATCAGTTCAACGCCTCCTGCACAGAGTAATCCATCACAGGTTACGGAGTGACATCGCCCTGCATTTAAACCAGCGGGGATTCGTTGAGTGTGACGGTACTTTGGCCAACGTTTTACTACTTGACCATTACACCGGACAATGGTTGGAAAGGGGTTGCGCATACAATGTCGTATCCCTGGACCTCCGTAAGGCCTTTGACTCCGTCTCTCACGAATCCATTGAACGTGCGCTGGTTAGGGTCGGTGTCGA